CTTAGCCCATCAGCTACGTCTCTCCTAACATTTCCAAAGTTCTAGATCTTCTGAATTCTCCCCATCTTGATCTTAGCCCCTCAGCTACATCTCTCCTAACATTTCCAAAGTTCTACATCATCTGAAGTCTCCCCTTCTTGATCTTAGCCCATCAGCTACGTCTCTCCTAACATTTCCAAAGTTCTAGATCTTCTGAATTCTCCCCATCTTGATCTTAGCCCCTCAGCTACGTCTCTCCTAACATTTCCAAAGTTCTAGATCATCTGAAGTCTCCCTTTTGATCTTAGCCCATCAGCTACGTCTCTCCTAACATTTCCAGTTCTCGATCTTCTGAAGTCTCCCCTTCTTGATCTTAGCCCATCAGCTATGTCTCTCCTAATTTTTCCAAAGATTTGGCAGATGGGACTCCCCATTGGGTGGCAGAGAACACGCTCCACTTTAGGGCACAGCAAGAACAGGCAGAAGCAGCAAAGCTGGCCTTTTGAGAGCCAGAAGAGGGTGGCCATCATGAGGTCCTTCACAAGAAGGTTTAGAGTTAACGGGCAGGTTTTTGAACCTTGCAGAGGTCTTCTTCCACCAATTATGGGCGGTGTCTCTCCCATGTTCTGGTACTAACACAATAGCAGCCGTACCAGGGAGAAGTCCTCTCCTGGGCTTCCTTGGTCAGAGGAGTGGAACTTTGGACGGCTAGCGCTGAGCAGGTGAAGATGTCTCCACGTCCGTGCAAGAGGGATAGTCTTCTCTCACTAGTCCACTCCATCAAGGACATGCCTTCTAGGTCAATTGACAAATCCTCCAGATTTGTCCTCTAGAACCCAACTGGTCATGGCTCTCTACAGAGCAGAAGACCGAAGGGATCCAGGAGGCATCATCTCAGCAGCTTCTCTTCATCTCCACGCTTCCTGCTCTTGGCCCTCTCTTTGTCCCTGACACATTGTGTGGTGCTGACGGTCAACCTTCCTATGGCTGTGTATGAACGTTGCCAACATAATCATGACAATCACTACGCTTATAACTCCTCCATTCTCAAGGCAGTGCAACATGGGCTTCCTGGGTCTTCGAGAAGGGAAATGAGAGATTCCCCTCTGCGTGTAAACACATCCGTCGCTGGCAGTAGAACGTAAGAGTCACAGAGTTGGACGGGCCCTTGGAGGGCTTCTGGTCCAACCCCCTGCTCAAGCAGAAGACCCCAGGCCGTGGTGGGCAAATGGCTGTCCAGCACGGAAGCGGCCGGCTGGGCTGGAGGGAAAGGCCTCATTCCGACTGGGTGGGCACCCAGGTGAGCTTCCACCCTCCGTCTTCGTCCCTGCGCACGAAGGCCTGCCCTTGGCGGAAGGTGTGGGTCTTCACGTTGCAGTGGGGGCTCAGAGAGGTGGTGAAGGCCACGTCCATCTTGGCTGGCGAAGGGCGGCCCGAGAGGCACGGCAGTGAGCAGGGCGAGGGGAAGGGGCTGGCAGTGCTGTCCACTGGGCAGGTCAAGGGGGCACTTCCGCCAGGGTGAGCCTCGCGGGCGGCCAGGTCGGAGGCCCCAAAGGGACCCCAAAGGGAAGACCCCGGGGAAGGGTCCAGGGTGGGGGCACTGTAGTTAGCTGAGTCGTCCACTGTGTCCAGGTCTTTGAGCCCCAACGTCTGCAGGACCCAGGAGTCCACGGGAGGCGCCAGCTGCTCTTCGCAGGCGGAGAAATCGCCCGAGAGGTTCCGCCTGGCCTTGGGCGGGTGGCGCCCGTCGTGGGCAAGGCGGCTCTCGGTCTTTCGGGGCCTCTTGCCGACCTTGGAGGTCCCGTCGATGTCCTGGCCAGCCTGGAGGAGAAGCAGCTTCTGCTCAGGAGGAGGAAAGAGGAGAAGACGGATGAGCCAGGGAGCCACGTCCGGCCTTTACAAATCAGCCAGCTGGATTTGGTGCCCAAGGTGGGTCTGGAACTCCCGGTCTCCCGGGGATGGGCCTAAAGTCACCCAGCTGGCTTTCACGCCTAAGGAGCCACTAGAACTCCCAGTCTCCTGGGGATGGGCTGAAAGACACCCAGCTGGCTTTCATGCCTAAGGAGGCACTAGAACTCACTATCTCCTGGTGTTTGGCTGAAAGTCACCCACCTGGGTTTCATGCCTAAGGCAGGACTAGAACTCCCGGTCTCCTGGTGTTTTTCACTGAAAGTCACCCAGCTGGCTTTCATGCCTAAGGAGGCACTAGAACTCCCGATCTCCTGGTGTTTTTCACTGAAAGTCACCCAGCTGGTGTTCATGCCTAAGGCGGTACTAGAACTCCCTGTCTCCTGGTGTTTGGCTGAAAGTCACCCAGCTGGGTTTCATGCCTAAGGCAGTACTAGAACTCCCGGTCTCCTGGTGTTTTTCACTGAAAGTTACCCAGCTGGCTTTCATGCCTAAGGCAGTACTAGAACTCCCAGTCTCCTGGTGTTTTTCACTGAAAGTCACCTAGCTGGCTTTCATGCCTAAAGTGGAACTCGAACTCTCTGCCTCCTGGTGATTGGTCCAAAGTCTCTCAGCCCATTTTCATGCCTAAGGCAGGACTGGAATTCACTGTCTCCTGGTTTCTAGTCTGCTGCCTTATGAACTATGAACTCTAATGAAATGTATCCTCTTGTCTGTCTGGCGTTCGAGCTGAATTAATACTGAAAATGTTCGGTTCTCCTTGATCCACACCTTCGACTTATTTGCCTGTTGAGGCCACAGTTTAGAGCCCCCAAATTGGAAATCAAAAAGGATACGATACATTAATCAACCCAGATTTCTGATCTGAGGCACAACTGACTGGATTCAAATGATGGTATGTTTTGGATGCAGAAAAAGTGCGCAGAGCCAGCTCTTAGGAGCAGAGTGTAATGCTTGGAAAGGTGGAAGAATAAAAAAAAAGACGATCAGCAGAAAATTGGAAGGACTCAAGTTATGGTGGCGAGGAGTCCACCACTGGAAGACCTGAAGGCCCACATTGAGGGACAAGGACCTTGGAGAAGGTCTACGTATGGTATGAGATCAGTAGCAGTTGACCCCCAACTTGATAGCACCTACTCAACTGATCAATTAATCAACCAGTCGGCGCAAAGACCCAGCTCCTTTGAAAAATCCATATTGGGGGAAAGGCAGAAGGAACGAGGAGAAGAAGAGGACAACCAGCAGACAGAGGGATGGACCCAGTGATACTCAGAGGCGATGGGGGCAGCATTGGAAGACCTAAAGGACCAGGATGAGGGCCAGATCCTTCAGGAGAAATTCTATCCATGTGGCAGCTGACAGGCAACATTAAGTGGATGCCCCTCATCAGTCCATCAATGCAAGGACCCAATTCTTTTGGAGAGGCCCATCATGCTGGGAAAGGTGGAAGGAGAGAGAGGAAAAGGACCGCCAGCAGCAAAAAAGATGGACTCAGGTATGGTGGTGATGGAGGC